AGGAAAACACAAACAACCAGGCCAGGACAAGCAGACCAGACCAACGCTTGGGGAACAGGCCTGCGTCTTTATGCAACACAAGAAAAGCCAAACAGTAACCATGCAGAGTGACGTCACTTCCCAACTCGGATTTCTGCAGTTAAAAAGCAACGGAAGTGATGGATCTACCTTGTTCGGTAAGTTATTAGTTTCCATACTTATTTCTTTCATATTCTAACCTGGCACGTGGTGAAAGTGTAAAAACCACATAACTTGTTGCTAATGCCTTTTCTGTGCGTTTGTATCTCGCTAAGCTTCGTCCTTCTTCGTTTCGAGCACGTGGCGCCATTATCTCATGACTTCTCAACCTCTATTATAAAGTTTGACTCGACCAGAAATATTTGTCTACGTGAAGTGTCCTGCTTTATTTCCCTAATGTTACTTGTCCTGGGCCACCGAGTCAACATAACTGATAAGCAGGTAATGGGGAGAGTTTGAACGGACCGCTTCGTTCATATACTGAGGGCTGTAGGAAAAAACATCATGGCGTCAGTCCGCATGTCTACTACTGAGGAGAAGTTTAGCTGCTGGCAACAAGTACAGCTGAGTGGGAATTAACCTTTCCAGCGCATAAAATTATAATATTTAAAAACTTGAGTTCTACATTGTCCTTTTTAAAAAGCCAGATTAAAGAAAATAAATGCATTAATACTTTGTATTGCCAAATGTGCAACGCTTACCGACATTTTCCAACACAGCCATGAGAGGCAGCTGGTAATGGGAGTTAACCATTTAATTTTCCTTTGGAATCAGTCAAATATTTTTGAATTTAATAATTTATTTTTAATCCATAGCTGGAATCTGACAGCAGAATCTAGAGCAGGGGTGGGCAACTCCAGGCCTGAAGGGCCGGTCTCCTGCAACTTTTAGATGTATCTCAACTTCAACACACCTGAGTTAAAATAATGAGGTTGTTAGCAGGACTCTGGAGAACTTGACTGCACTTAGTCAGTCAAGTGGATTCAAGTGTGTTGGACCAGGGAGACATTAAGAGCTGCAGGACACCTGACCTCGAGGACCAGGATTGCCCACCCCTGCTCTAGAGGACCAGTAAGCACTGAAGTGGTCTAGTTAATGTAAACTAGTTAATGGTTTCTTGTGGATGAACAAAAAATCTAAATGTTCAGTCTGATCCATAGTAGCATGTTGTTATTGAGCCTGTGGTTTATCCTGAGCTACTGTAAACACTGTCTGTCTTTTCCTTCACTCTGGATCATCAACTACAAAATAATATGCAGCTGGACATATTAATAGCACATTCGTTGGTATCGCAGCACAAACTACTGGGTGATGTTCTGTTTAATTCAGTGTTAGTTAAATT